GCTTCTTAATTAGCCATGGGAGGCCTTGGAGAGGCTTGGTTTTGATTAGAGAAGCTTGGGTGGCTCCCTCGGAGGAGTCTCAGAGAAATCTCAGATTTGAGCAATGTTAGTCAACTGTACAAGTTTCCATGATGGGCTCAGCATGGTGTTAAGCATGGTGAAGACAAAAAGTTGGTGAGGGCTTTGAGCTAATTGGAAGGGTTTTATGCGGATAATACAAATCATATATGAGCTAGCTTGACTCACTAGAGATTGGTCCAAGGGGGCTAAGTTAAGTGCCATGTATGGTGACATTTTTCCCCCCTCATCATGTGTCATGATGGATGAGGCCAAGCCACGAATCAAGGGTTTGAAAATTCTGGTTTAGCTTGATGGGTTCTCCTCATGTCATGCTAGGTAAGTTGGGTCATGGGTGACCCGTTAAGGATGAACCATGGGCCATGGGTTTTAACGTTTTGGGCTTAGGCTAATGGGTTGGATTTAGCCCAAATTTTAGGCCCAAATGTAAATTGGTGAGGGCTTTGAGCTAATTGGAAGGGTTCTATGCGGATAATACAAATCATATATGAGCTGGCTTGACTCACTAGAGATTGGTCCAATGGGGCTAAGTTAAGTGCCATGTATGGTGATATTTTTCCCCCCTCATCATGTGTCACGATGGATGAGGCCAAGCCACGAATCAAGGGTTTGAAAATTCTGGTTTAGCTTGATGGGTTCTCCTCATGTCATGCTAGGTAAGTTGGGTCATGGGTGACCCGTTAAGGATGAACCATGGGCCATGGGTTTTAACGTTTTGGGCTTAGGCTAATGGGTTGGATTTAGCCCAAATTTTAGGCCCAAATGTAATGTCATAACCCCTTTAATTAGTTAATTAATTAATTGATTGATTGAATTATGGGGGTTGACCCCATTGTGCCAATTGGGTCCCCCACATGGTATGGTGTCATGGCCATGTTGGGTGAGGCTCAATTGGATGGGGGTGTGGAGAATTAGCCAAGATTTGACCAAAATTGGGGTAGACCCAATTAGTTTTGACCATCCCAATGTGCAATCAAATTTTGGCATCAAAAGGGTACATTAGGGTTTGGGGAGGTTTCTAAGGTTTGATAGGGTCAGGGAAGCCTCTGGTGAGGCCAAGAATCAATTTTTGTGGACCCCTTTCCCAAGGTGGATTTGGTGGTCAAAGTGTTTTTAAGGATTCATATGTAAGTCCCTAGGGTTTTGGGTTAATTTGGGAGACCTGGGGCATGTGTAGCCTCTGGTGGTCATTTGGGTTCACCTAGGGCGTGTCTAACCCTTGGTGGTCAATTTAGGTTCTTCGTCTGATCAAAATCCTAAAACCACTAAACCAAAAAATTGGGATCTTGAGTTTTCAGTAGTGAGGCCTAAGTAAGCAAAACCTTAATTTAAGGTCATGTGCAAGTAGGTGGGGCGAGCCCTCACAAAAGTGAGGTCAACAATTGACATGGAATGGCCATATCAAAAACATGGAGGTGTTAAGTGCTCTACGCTGTATTTCCTACCTAAAAAATGTCAACACATTAACTATCAAATTGATTATGTAAGCTAATGTGGCACTTGCCACATTAGCTGAGCCATAACACCATCAACCAATGCTTAAGTGTTGGTTAAAAGATATCAAAGCTTATCGATCATAGTGTGGAAAATGCTTGATTTTATTTTTGTGTCTTAATGCCATGACACTTGACCCATCTTTTCTCCTTTCAAAGGGTCAGCCTTAGGTTGCCCCAAGGGTTAATTATTTTGTGAATCTCGTTGGTTTAAACCATTCTTTAGTCCTCAGAGAGAGAGAGAGAGAGAGATCTATGACTTTCATACCATCCTCTCTTTCTTTTTTTACCTTTCAAGTGATTGATGGCTAGAGCGTCTCATGTCTTCAAGGTCAGAGTGTTAGTGGAGTTGTCTTAAACCACTTTGAATCACGGGACTACATAAACCATCTGGTATGTGAGAATTACTTTTCCCTTTTCATTTTCATTTTTGTGGAGCCTTGGGTTTTATCTTAGAGGAGATAGAATTAAGTTTGTTGTTAGAAGAAGATTATGTTAGGTTCTCTCTTGGTTCTCTTTATTGCCTCATTTTTGAGTTTCACCACTAAATTTTGGGTCTTAGTCTAGTTGTGGCACCACGATGCCACCTTTGGGTTCCATGGTTCCATACACTTTTATTGTTTAACTGACACCTCAATGTCATGTATAGGTGTTTATACACCAGTTCATATTGAGTGACACTGAATCATTACCTCTGTAATGATGTTGTTCCACCCACCTCGGCTCTATGAGGTGAGAAGGTGATGTGAAGTATTCTCGTGGTGCAAATGTTGCTTGTTGCTCCAAATCTCTCTTCATCATATGTACTTTTTTACATCCTCTCTTTCTTTTTTACTTTTCAAGTGATTGATGGCTAGAGCATCTCATGTCTTCAAGGTCAGAGTGTTAGTGGAGCTGTCTTAAACCACTTTGAATCACGGGACTACATAAACCCTCTGGTATGTGAGAATTACTTTTCCCTTTTCATTTTCATTTTTGTGGAGCCTTGGGTTTTATCTTAGAGGAGATAGAATTAGGTTTGTTGTTAGAAGAAGATTATGTTAGGTTCTCTCTTGGTTCTCTTTATTGCCTCATTTTTGAGTTTCACCACTAAATTTTGGGTCTTAGTCTAGTTGTGGCACCACGATGCCACCTTTGGGTTCCATGGTTCCATACACTTTTATTGTTTAACTGACACCTCAATGTCATGTATAGGTGTTTATACACCAGTTCATATTGAGTGACACTGAATCATTACCTCTGTAATGATGTTGTTCCACCCACCTCGGCTCTATGAGGTGAGAAGGTGATGTGAAGTATTCTCGTGGTGCAAATGTTGCTTGTTGCTCCAAATCTCTCTTCATCATATGTACTTTTTTGGTATGGGGCTAGCACCGCAGGGCTAGCTTGAGCCCCACCCCACCTTATGACACTTTTTTCCATTAGTTGGTGAAGCAACTCTATTTCCAGAGCAATGATAACACATTTCTTAGCTCAAGGCTATAGCATTGTCCTATAACATGACAAAACCTGGACATACTTAGGTCCATGTAGTTAATGTCCCACCTCGAGCAATGTAGCAAATATTAGGCATTCAACCCATCATTCAGGTTTGATTTCCATCAAAACATAGGAGTTTTATGTCCTTATGAATCAGGTGAACTCATCTAATATTTCATAGGTTGTTTGTACATTCTTCACATGGGTGGTGATCCTCTCGTAGAGAACATCCTTATACGAGTTCAGGTGTTCTAAAAAAATGGATCCCCAAGATTTATAGATTAGGGGTTTTAAGATTTTTATCATGAACTATTATTGCACCCTTCCATATGGGTTGTGGTTCTCCAAGTTCAATTGGTAGAACATACATCACTCATGTTGTAGTCAACATGATTGAATGTAAGTTCCTTTTCTTTAATTTTGTCTCTTGTAGATTACCTATGTGAAGTGTGTAGGATAGCATTTGAGTATTATCACCAATTATATTTAATCAACATTGGGTTGGCACAACTCACTTTCTGTTCAAGAGATCAAGGGAACTGACACCTAAGTGCAGCCTATCGACATCAAGGTGCCAACTATTTTTCTTCTCAAAAGTTATAGCTCACTCTTTATCATTATTTTTATGACATTTTAGCACTCTCCCATTGA